GCAAAATTTCAAGTATAGTTTCCACAGTATACCAAGGTAGATCATGATAATTAAATGGTTCCATTGCATATCATGGTTAAATGTCTAGACCATGATATCACTGCATTTGATGGTATTTGACCATGAAATACTGTGAAACGGTGGTATTTTTTAGATACAAAATTACATGTTAATTGACCATGGTATACCATGGTATATCATGATCGTTAAATGGCACCATTGCATTTCATGGTCAGGAGCGTTTTTTTAACATGGAGTTTCCCATTGAAAAAATACTGCCGTTTCACAGTATTTCATGGTCAGAAACCATCAAATGCAATGATATCATGGTCAAGAAACCATCAAATGCAATGATATCATGGCCGAGAACTTGACCATGATATCATTGCATTTGATGGTTTCTGACCATGAAATACTGCGAAACGGCAGTATTTTTTCAATGGAAAACTCCATGTTAAAAACGCACTGTTAACAATGAAATGCAATGGTGCCATTTAACGTTCATGATCGGCCATGGTATTACCATGGTATTTCATTGCATTTCATGGCCATATACCATGGTATACCATGGTCATACCATGGTATACCATGGTATGGCCATGGTCCATTTCAACATGGACATGTCTGCGTTTTAGTGGTCAAGGATTTCATTTATGTCTAAATCTGAGTCATCGAATAATTGCTTTTCATAGAAATCCAAGATGGTCACCAAAAACGGTGCCAATAACCAGTAAATATTGATTTAAGCTCAAAGAACAGTTTATAACAGTAATTTGAGACCATGTCAAGATTTTTGGTGTCAAGAATTTCAGTTATGTCTAAAACTATAACTAATTCCTTTATTTGGATCCAAGATGGCTTCCATCATTGCTGCCGAAGTGAAAATAAGATTTATTATCCAAAAATATAGAGGAGTTAGAACATTAATTTTTGATATTTTAAGTTTGTGGGGTCAATGATTTTAATTTTGTCTTTAATAAAATCAACAAATATTTTATTTATATGGATATCTAAGATGGCCTCCAAAATGAATTCATATCCATTTAACCACATAGATCACCAAACAATCTGTGATTAATATCAGAATTCAAGATGGATGCCAAAGTGTTAATATTATAAAAGGTCAAATAAGAACAAACAATTACATGAAGATTTGCGAAATAAAATCTTATGATCATCACATTAGCAATATTACTGTAATTTGCCTTCCTTTCCCTTAGTTTTGTGGTGGCTCAGTATCATAAACATTGACTATAGAAAGAAGTAGACTGCCCATGGGAAGAAGTAGATTATTGGATGGAGAAGATCAAGCACAAGAAATTCCTCAAAGACAAGTGTATGATAAACCAGAAAGAGTTTGATGAAGATAAACATTTTAGTCAGTCCTCAAAATCGTGACTCTGGAGCCATTTTGGTGGTCGGTCATCTTGGATTCAAAATAAAGGAATTGTTTTATGACTTAATTATAGACAAAATAGTTATTCTTGGCCTCTTAAACCTGGACATGGTCTCCAAAATCACTGTCCTTAACTGTTCTTTGAGCTTAGATCAATAGTTACATATTCATTTCAGCACCCATTTTGGTGGCCATCTTGGATTTCTATAAAAAGTAATTATTATTTGATTACTTAGATTTAGACATAAATAAAATCCTTGGCCCCTACAAAATAGACAGAGTCTCCAAAATTACTGTTCTTAACTGTTCTTTTAGCTTCAATCAATAGTTACATATTCATTTTGGCATCCATTTTGGTGGCCATCTTGGATTTCTATAAAAGTAATTGTTTGATGACTTAGATTTAGACATAAATGGAATCTTTGACCCTTAAAACCAAGACATGATCTCCAAAATCACTGTTCTTTGAGCTTAAATCAATAGTTACATATTCATTTTGGCACCCATTTTGGCGGCCATCTTGTATTTCTATGAAAAGGTAATTATTTGATGACTCCAATTTAGACATAAATGAAATCCTTGACTCTAGAACTGTGGCATGATCTCCAAAATCACTGTTCTTAACTCTCATTCGAGCTTAAATCCATGGTTACATACTGGCAATCGTTTTGGCATCCATTTTGGTGGCCATCTTGTATTTCTATGAAAAGTTTATTATTTGATGACTCTGATTTAGACATAAATGAGATCCTTGACTCGAGAACTCAGTGACATGATCTCCCAAATCACTGTTCTTAACTGTTCTTTGAGCTTAAATCAATGGTTACATACCGGTATTCGTTTTGGCACCCATTTTGGTGGCCATCTTGGATTTCTATAAGAAGTAATTCCTTGATGACTTAGATTTTGGCATAAATGAAATCCTTGACCCCTAAAACCTCAATATAGGCCCTAAAATCACAGTTTCTGCATCTCAGTGTGCTTAGATATACCCACTCTTATATTGTAACACATGCACCGGCGGCCATTTTGAAAAATGGGTGATAACACCCATTTAGCTACAACTGTGGCAATGCTATCACATAGTTTCTTACTCTAGAGGTCTTAACCTTCCCGAAAATCACTATGGCGATTATTCCCCTGATTTGATACCGATAACCTAAATTTTGGGGTGAAGCTGATGGCCTAAATGATGATGAAGCTCAATGTAAAATACAACCATTCAAGATTAGATTTGGCTGGAGTGGATTTGATTAGATGAGATTGTCTTTGCTAACAGTATATCTGGATGCAGCCTTAATTAGTTATAAATATAATATTGACCCAAATATTCAATAAAAAGCCAAATTTTCAAAGTAGAGCTCACATTTATTTTTGCATAATAGTGAATGGAAGGATTTTTCATCATTTTGATCTTCATATATGAAAATCTTAAAAATCTATTAAATGTTGATACTTTGTAATAAATTCCATCAATAAAACAGAAGTATATGAATGCTTGTATATGAATTTATTATTACTTAAAGTCCCCGATAAATCGGGCTACGTATACCGCCGTGTTTACATTAGGGGATTAGAAGAGTTTATTTTTTATTTAGGTATGCAAGCGACGTATATCAATATTAGGCCTTCCATGTACTCGTGTGCATGTAATCGCCCAAAGACGTCTCACCCCTTTATAAACAAACGAACCCCAACTTTCCCAAATCATAACATCAAACACACACTACCACGGAAGTTGGAGCCATTCGTTACAACAGCATGCATTCAAAATTTCCATCATTCTTGAAAATATGGCAATATATTGCAGGACTAATAGGTCCAAGTTGTCTAGGGTCCGAGTTAATTAGGGTTTGAATTAACTAGGGTCTGAGTTGACTAGGGTCCAAGTTAACTAGGGTCCGAGTTAATTAGGGTCTGAGTTGATTAGGAACCCTTAGAAGCATATTTTTTGCGTACTATTTTATGACTTTTGAGACATACTTCATTTCTGTTGATGTCATCCATGCAGACAATTGCAAACCTTTAACCTTAATTCCAGTACAGTACAATGATTGAATATCTCTAAACTAGTGGATCTCTATTATTCTGTGTTTCTGACCAATGCTTCAATCTTCCACTTAACATGATTACAACTTTAACCAATATAACAATGATGATGAAGCTCAATGTAAAATACAACCGTTCAAGATTAGATTTGGCTGGAGTGGCAGGGGCGGATCTGGGAACCAACAAGGGGGGGCAAATCTTAGGTCAGAGAAAAACATTTTGGGCCCCTATAACTGAAAAGTGGGCTCAAATTTTGAAATTCTGGGGCCTATTTTCTTCAAAATTTGGCCTGAAATTAAAAAATAAGGCCTTACAAGGCCCAGTAATGACCAAAAAGGCCTACTCTTTGGGGCATTAAGGCCTTATTTTGCCCAAAATTTTTTTGGGCCCAATTTTTTTGGTGGGACCACCCAAGGGGGGGTTGCAGGCTCCCCCCCCCCTCAGATCCGCCAGTGAGTGGATTTGATTAGATGAGATTGTCTTTGCTTACAGTATATCTGGATGCAGCCTTAATTAGTTATAAATATTATATTGACCCAAATATTCAATAAAAAGCAAAATTTTCAAAGTAGAGTTCACATTTATTTTTGCATAATAGTGAATGAAAGGATTTTTCATCATTTTGATCTTCATATATGAAAATCTTAAAAATCTATTAAATGTTGATACTTTGTAATTAATTCCATCAATAAAACAGAAGTATATAAATGCTTGTATATGAATTAATTATTACTTAAGTGGATTATTTACTAAGTGTATATATTTCCTATACATTATTTACATTATTTCAATAAAGATGCACAATTGCCTTTTGAAGGTACAAGACATATCCAATATGTGTATTATACAGCTGACAGTATCTCCTTAACTCTCAATTCAAATATATGATATTGTATTCTGAATACTATTGAAAATATACATATCCATTCACTCTAGGATAATACAAGACATCCAAATATAAAGTTTGAATGTTTTATGGCTTAATTTATGTGCATAATGATTAAAGTATGCAAATATAAGAATTTTGTTGAAACATTAATTTGAAAGTACTATACAATTATAGAAAAGAAATATGCACAGAGTGTACATACTATTTTCTTTGCAAACATAATACATCCGCATACATTATGCTAATAAAAAACATTTATTACAAAATTCATTTTAACGTTTATTCAAAAAATATTTTATCAATCATATAAATTGAATATATAAAAGTGATTTGCAATGACAAGAAATATATTTGCTTTTTGTGCAAAATACAGCAATGTAAATTAAACAATCTTTATATAGAATACAAACTTCCTTCAAACTTTCTTCAAATGAGAATATTTCGTCAAATGAGAAAAATATTTGCTATTTATGAATATAATACAGTCTTGTAAATTATACTTTTCATATAATTACAAGCTTTCTTTGTAGTGTCCAATGAGAAACATATTTGTTACCTGTGATTATAATACAGTCTTGTAAATTATACTTTTTATATAGATACAAGTTTTCTTTGTATGTACAATTTGAGAAAAATAGCTGTAATCAAATATAATACATGTAAAATAAATATTCAATGGAAAAAAATGTTCACATTTGCCATGATTTTTTCTATCTTTGCAATTATTATTTAGTTAAACCTATATTTTTATACATATACAATCAAGTGAATTACATATTTATATTATATAACAAAACAACTGTTCGATGTTTTATGAAAATAATATGTTGATACTGAGTATACATATAAGCCTTAGAAGAGTATATCAGACACACTCTCTTTATCATTCGGTCTTGATAATAATGTTGTTAATATTTTATTTTGATTATTTTCTAATTTCACATACCTTGATATTGAATTTCATTTTATTTTGATCATGTTTTTTTATTTCACATATCTATATATTGAATTTCTTTGTTTTTCATTATTTATGCATCTCCATCAGATGCTTTAGCAGGAAGAAACAAGATACAATAATTTTGAAAAGTTTTCAGTTATTCCTTTCCATATGTTTAAAAAATTCTATTTATATGATGATATTATGCAGATATAGTCTTGTTTATAGCAAATATGACCCATAACCATTATAGTTTTATCCTCCTTCCTTTTATTAATTCCTCAGTCACATTTAATCTATGGCAACCATATGACAGCCGTGACAGCTGTAACTTCCCAAAATCAAGATAAATATGCAGCATAAGATATGAGGATAACAGTATGATATAGATCTTCTATATTGCTTTTGTGAACCTATGGCCACTGGAGAGCAAATGTGACTGAGGCTTAAAAGCAGGATGTATATTGTCACCAGTTTAATTTTCAAAAGTTGGATTCATATATGCAGCAACTGGTTCAGTCTTATTACTAATGAATGATATTTCAGTTAATGAAGCACTATTATGTATCACATTTGTATGTGTATCATCAAGATGTACCTCATATGATGATCCACTACGTTTTTTAAGACATACTATTACTACAGCTAGAACAGTAATCAACAAAATTGAAAGTGGAATTCCAACTGCCAAGCCAATGACTAAAGAATTGTTTGTTTTTGTAGATGGTTGTATTGCTAGTGTAGATGGTTGTATTGCTTGGGAAGATGGTTGTATTGCTAGTGTAGATGGTTGTATTGTTTGGGTAGATGGTTGTATTGCTCGGGTAGATTGTTGTATTGCTTGGGTAGATGGTTGTATTATTTTGGTAGATGGTTGTATCGCTTGGGTAGATTGCTGTATTGCTTGGGTGAATGGTTGTATTACTTGGGTAGATGGTTGTATTGCTTGGGTAGATTGCTGTATTGCTTGGGTAAATGGTTGTATTGCTTGGGGACATGGTTGTATTGCTTGAGTAGATTGTGTTGTTTCAGTGGATTGCTGTTCTGTTATATGCATAGATGACTGTGTCTTGCAAGGTGTGGCTGTTATTGTTGAGTTAGCCAAATATCTTACGTTTATACAGAAGTCACTATATATAGCTCTCATTGCAGTAACATTATCTGTGTACTCTGGTTTTATTTTAGTTATGTAGTTTCCATGTAAATATAACCTTGTCAGCATTGGCATACACAAACATATATCAGATGGGACTGATTGAAGTTTATTATTTGATAAGTCAAGATATCTCAGTGATTTCAAGCTGCTGAATATGCCATTTGGTAATGTTGTTAGTTCATTTCTCCGAAGGTTAAGTCTGACCAGTGATGTCAAGTTACTGAATATGCCATTTGGTAATGTTGTTAGTTTATTAAAATGAAGGTTAAGGCTTGTCATTAATCTTAAGCTTCTAAATATGTTATCTGGTAATATTGTTAGGTCATTAGAGTAAAGGTCAAGATCGGATAATGATGTCAAGCTACTAAAGATGTCATCTGATAATGTTGTTAGTTCATTGTTCTTAAGTTCAAGTATAGTCAGTGATGTCAAGTTACTGAATATGCCATTTGGTAATGTTGTTAGTTTATTAGACTGAAGGCTAAGGCTTGTCATTAATCTTAAGCTTCTAAATATGTTATCTGGTAATATTGTTAGGTCATTAGAGTAAAGGTCAAGATCGGATAATGATGTCAAGCTACTAAAGATGTCATCTGATAATGTTGTTAGTTCATTGTTCTTAAGTTCAAGAGTAGTCAGTGATGTCAGGTTACTGAATATGATATCTGGTAATATTGTAAGCTTATTACGAGTAAGGTCAAGTTTTCCTAATGATGTCAAGCTACTGAATATACCATCTGGTAATATTGTAAGCTTATTACGAGTAAGGTCAAGGTTTTCTAATGATGTCAAGCTATTGAATATGCCATCTGGTAGTATTGTTAGTTCATTATTGTAAAGAGCAAGACTAATAAGTGATGCCTGTTTTCTAAAAGTGCCATCTGCTAATGTTGTTAGTTTATTAGAGTTAAGGTCAAGAAATGCCAGTTGTGTCAAGCTACTGAATATGCCATCTGGTAAAGTTCTAAGTTTATTTTGGTCAAGGTAAAGTCTGGTCAATGATGTCAAGTTACAGAATATCCTATCTGATAATGTTGATAGTTTGTTATAACTAAGGTCAAGTGTTGTCAGTGATGGCAAGGTACTGAATATGCCATCCGGTAAAGTTGTTAATTTATTATTGCAAATGTAAAGTCTGGCCAGTGATGTCAAGCTATTGAATATTCTAACTGGGTATATTAGTTCATTATGGCAAAGGGTAAGAATGTTCAGTGATGCCAAGTCTCTAAATACCCCATCTGGTAATGTTTTTAGTTTGTTAAAGTCAAGGTCAAGATCGGTCAGTGATGCCAAGCCTCTAAATGTGCCATCTTTTAATATTGTAAGTTTAGTATAGCCAAGGTTTAGTTGGGTCAGTGATGTCAAGCCTCTAAATATGCTATCTGGTAATATTGTAAGATAATTTTCCATAAAGTTAAGCCTGGTCAGTAATGTCAAGCCTCTAAATATGCCATCTGGTAATGTTGTTAGTTTATTATGAGCAAGGTCAAGACTTTTCAGTGATACCAAGGCTCTAAACATGCCACCTGGTAATACTGTTAATTCATTATTGCTAAGGTCAAGACTGCTTAATGATGTCATGCTGTTGAATATTGCATCTGGTAATGTTAAGAGCCGATTATTGTTAAGGTCAAGCCTGGTCAGTAATGTCAAGTTTCTGAATATGCCATCTGGTAATAATATAAGACCATTATAGCCAAGGCCAAGAATGGTCAATGATGTCAAGCCACTGAATATGCCATCTGGTAATGTTGTTAGTTTGTTATAGCCAAGGCCATGAATGGTCAATGATGTCAAGCCACTGAATATGCCATCTGGTAATGTTGTTAGTTTATTATGAGCAAGGTCAAGACTTTTCAGTGATACCAAGGCTCTAAACATGCCACCTGGTAATACTGTTAATTCATTATTGCTAAGGTCAAGACTGCTTAATGATGTCATGCTGTTGAATATTGCATCTGGTAATGTTAAGAGCCGATTATTGTTAAGGTCAAGCCTGGTCAGTAATGTCAAGTTTCTAAATATGCCATCTGGTAATAATATAAGACCATTATCACCAAGGCCAAGAATGGTCAGTGATGCCAAGCCTCTAAATATGCCAACTGGTAATGTTGTTAGCTCATTACCCCGAAGGTCAAGACTGCTTAATGATGTCAAGCTGTTGAATATCGGATCTGGTAATGTTAAGTGCTCATTATATTTAAGGTCAAGCCTGGTCAGTGATGTCAAGTTTCTAGATAACCAATCTGGTAATATTGTTAGGTCATTATGACTAAGGCCAAGAATGGTCAATGATGTCAAGCTAATGAATATACAATGTGGTAATATTGTTAATTTATTACCATCAAGATAAAGTTCTGTCAGTGATGTCAAGCTACTGAATATGCCATATGGTAATGTTGTTAGGTCATTATGACCAAGGCCAAGAATGGTCAATGATGTCAAGCTAATGAATATACCATGTGGTAATATTGTTAATTCATTACCATCAAGGTAAAGTTCTGTCAGTGATGTCAAGCTACTGAATATGTCATCTGGTAATGTTCTTAGTTCATTATTGGCTAGGATAAGTCTGGTCAGTGATGTCAAGTTAGTGAATATGCCATCTCCTATTTTTGTCAGTGTATTATTCACAAGATATAATTCTTCCAATGATTCTAAACCAGAGAAAGCACCTGGTTCAATTTGAGTAATAACAGTATCATTCAGATAGAGATGTTTAAGATTGGAATATTCCTTGAACATGCCTTCTGTTAGTTTTGTATGGCCTCTTCTGCTCATATCTAGCACTGTGGCATCAGGGGATTGGATGGTCACTTGGTACATGATAAACACCACAAGAGTCTTCAGTAACACATTCTGAAAGTATCAATTCAGCTTTGAAATCATGGGTGTATGAAATGTTATAACCCTTAAATAAGAACTTTTAAAGCAGTAATAGGACATCTACTCAAAAATCTATTTTGATATTTGTTTGTCCATTTGTTCTGTCATTCAGACCCTCTTTATTTTAAATATTTTTCTTGGTGTTAACTATTTGAAAAGTGATTAAAATCTCATTCAGTTATGAACATTTACTTTGCTGTAACATTTATGAAAAGTTACCTTTGAGGAAAACCGCTTTCACTTTTAAGAGATCCCATGTTTTGACTGTACATACCTTCATCTTGTCAGCTGCTGCCATTGATTGCTCTGTAGTCAACTATGAATCACTACCGTGCTTGATCTCTGTTCTGTGAATTATAAAGTGGTGCAAATTAAAGTTTTATTAATCGAACCTTCAAAATATAAATAAATATATGAAGTTTCATCCCAATTTTAATTTTTCTATTTATCAGTTATTTCAAGGGGTTTATTTGCTATAATATCTATTTCTTTTGCTATACTAGAAATAAATATGCGCTACCTTGCAATGTCTCCTGAAGTATGATCGCTGAATTCCTCTTTTTAGATATGTCTCCTGAAGTATGATCACTGAATTGCTCTTTTTAAGAGTCTCTCGTAACTTGTGGTCGGTTCTTAATTATAACTAATATTGCGAAAGCAGTTTTACGTTCATCTCATTTATTTGGCTCTTAAGCATTAAAATTAGATTAATGTGTGTGCCATGTGACCTTTAGGTAATATTTAAAGTTATAAAAGTTAAAAACATAAAAATTCCTTTGATAGTTTTCCAAGCATATGTTTTTTATTGTTTGTGTTTGAATGCAATGTTATGATCCAGTCAAACAAAGTTTGAAATGCCATCCTTCGTCCATCTGTCCATTCATGTGTCAACATGTTGCAATATTCAACACAAGTGATACGTCCCACCCAACATAGTTCGTGGATGATAGAAAGCTGTGTCCATTAGTTTAGTTAATTCATTCATCTCTATGGGTGAGAACTCAAATACAGGTTGATAGATTTGATTCAAATTTTATAGGCTTATGCCTTATGAGTGTAGGACCTCTGCTCGAGAAGGAATTTTCAATATGGCTGCTCAATTCAAAATTCAAAATGTTGATGCATCAAACATTGAAAAGACAGGTGTGGAAAGGGCTGAAAAGGGAATATGAAAAAGACCGACCCCACCAACCAGTATGTGTTTTCCATAGGTAGCTTCAAAACAGGGTTGAAAAAATATGTAAAAGACAGACCACTATGTAAAAGACTAACCAAAAGAAAAAAGCCTACCTCCCCTTACGGAAAATAAAAGCTGTGACAGCGCTGCCACAGCGCTGTCGCAGCGCTGTGACAGCATATAGGCTTAAACTGATGGCTGGATCAATTTCAGCGACAATGCTCTCACATCCATACGCTGCGAGAACGCTGTGAGAGCGCTGTCACAGCATTCTATTTCCATCCATCGCTGCGAGAGGGATGTGACAGTAATTAAGTGGCTGGATCAATTACAGCAACATGCTATCTTAGCCAGAGTTTGTGGCAGCGCTCTCACAGCGCTCTCACAGCCCTCTCACAGCAGGAAGTACCAATGCATTGTGGGTTAAAAAATTCAAACTGAAAATCAGTTAGAGCAGGAAGTTTGTAGGAGGAAAAAGCAAAGGAATTATGCTGAAATGGCCATCATATCATTACTGATTTATAAAGCACATGTAAGGTATTGTACTACTGATTATTTATAGATACCTTTGGAATGTTTCAGTGATCTAAGGAAAAGGATCAAATGATATGAATTTTGTGCAAGTTAGTGGTTAAACTAGAAGTCTGAAATATCAATGTATAGTCCATATAAACTATATGTCCATATAAAGACTTGCAGATGAATTTTGTAATTTCAGAAAATTCCAGGTTGGTTCACATTTGATAAGTTGAATGGGTTAAATGACTTTAAATATGTATGCAAAAATGCCAAAGGAAAGGACCAAAAATTGTTGCAGAATTACCCATCCAGACTATGAGAAAAAAAACATGTTGGGCCTGAAGCCAATGAGGGGGTCACCTTTCAGAAAATTCACAGTTGGTTCACCCCTCCTCCCTCTCCTGCCAGTCATAAGGAAAACAAACTCCAGCTAATTTCATGGCCAGTTCATTTAAATATGAATATAAATGAGTTGGTCATGAATTAGTAGGTTAATCCATCAGCCAACAACCAGCAGTTGGATTGGCAAATGTTAGCTAAGTCGATCAAGTCAAAGAGAGTAATTGTTTATGAAACTTGTCAAATAATAATACAATAACGTCATTTCTAAGGGCAATATAGTGAAATATTGGGCCGAGGGCCGAAGGCCGAAGGCCCAAGGTCCAATATTTCACTATATTGCTCGCAGAAATGACGTTAACCACCGTTGACGACCAGGGCTGAAATAGCAAGAAAATCTTACGCACCGAACGATATCTAATTTCCCGGGGAAAAATTGCCGGTCCAGAATATATTCTACACCGCTCCATATGGACCACCACTATGATGTCACACATTTCTCAGGTAGATATAGTAAAAAAATGAATGCCTTCTAAACTATATATAGCACTAAAACCCCTAGAACTGGCCCGGCAAGGTGGTAACTGCATGGTAAAAATAAAGGTTGGAAACAAAAGAAATAGCTAATAATTGCTCCCCTTAGCAGGCACTCCAATCTCAACCCATATTTTTAAAATCGTTTCTTATTATAGTCAAATAGAGTTATTAATTTTGTTAATGGGATTCATATTAATATTGGTATGTATGCAGCAAAAATAGTGACTGGCCAGGTTTAACAGTGTGACTGGTAAGATGTAACAGTTATTTTTTAATTTTGATTACCTATTACCAGTATTACAAGCCTAGAATCTACTTTTTCCATGCTGAATTTGAAATTTATAATTTGAAACGTTTTAAAGATATTTAAATTTATAGGCTATAGGTAATTAAGATTAATGTGTATGAAGGATACATAATCAATGCCATATATGGCAATGCTGTGACAGCGCTGTCGCAGCCTCATTTGCATGGTACATTCCGATGGGCTGTCACAGCGCTTTGAGAGCGCTGTCACAGCGCTGTGAGAGCGCTGTCGCAGCGCTGTGACAGCGGGCTGTGAGAGCGCTGTGACAGCGGGCTGCGAGAGCGCTGTGAGAGCGGGCTGCGAGAGCGCTGTGACAGCGTGCTGCGAGAGCGCTGTGACAGCGGGCTGTGAGAGCGCTGTGACAGCGGGCTGTGACAGCCAGTAAATTTGTATAAGGGTCACAGTTGTTAAAATTAAATTAGAATTTGTGAAAAACACTGCGTTGACATGCAGTCTCAAGAAATCTTATTGCCATTTTCACTTGCTTTAGGTGCCACTGACCAATTTGACAATTGGAAAACGATATTCCTGATTATGATTTAGTAATTATGTATCCAATCGAATGAACTTTGGAGGGATATAGAGAATGGCTCTGTCCGTACGTACGTCTGTCTGGGCAATAACTCAAATACCGTTGACCTCATATTGTTTGCAATATAAATAATTAAGGTCCTTAGTAGAGAAAAATCCACCTTTTCTAAACTATCAGTGCTTTACATCCTCTTTGTCAGGCTTATTTTCTTGAAATGGATGGAAATGCCTACCTGGGCTATTTCAGCATTTAGAACCCTTAAATTTTTTGTTTTGTTTTATACACCCTCTAAATGTTTTTACAATAATTTTGCAACCAGAGAAGCTTTTTATCGTACCTAAGAAAGGTACGATATTGTCGTCAGCTTGACGGGCGGGCGGGCGGGCGGCGTTTCACTTTTCAGCTTGTCTACATGTTTCCAGCCAAACCATTTGACAGATTCATCTGAAATTTTCAGGAATGTTTCTACATATCAAAGTTAAGTTAAGTTGGGCATTCTGGGTAAATTTTAAGGTGGCCATTTTGGATTTTCCGTCCTAAAATCTTCACTTTCAAGACTTGTCTACAGGCTTTCAGCCAAACCATTTGACGGAATCATCTGAAATTTTCAGGAATGTTTCTACGTTTCAAAGTTCAGAACTGATTAGTTTTTGGGCATTCTGGGTAAATTTTAAGGTGGCCATTTTGGATTTTCCGTCCTAAAATCTTCACTTTCAAGACTTGTCTACAGGTTTCCAGCCAAACCATTTGACGGATTCATCTGAAATTTTCAGGGATGTTTCTACGTATCAAAGTTAAGAACTGATTAGTTTTTTGGCATTCTGGGTAAATTTTAAGGTGGCCATTTTGGATTTTCCGTCCTAAAATCTTCACTTTCAAGACTTGTCTACAGGTTTCCAGCCAAACCATTTGATGGATTCATTTGAAATTTACAGGGATGTTTTTACTTATCAAAGTTAACAACTGATTAGTTTTTGGGCATTCTGGGTAAATTTTAAGGTGGCCATTTTGGATTTTCCGTCCTAAAATCTTCACTTTCAAGACTTGTCTGCAGGTTTCCAGCCAAACCATTTGATGGATTCATCTGAAATTTTCAGGGATGTTTCTACGTATCAAAATTTAGGACTGATTAGTTTTTTGGCATTCTGGGTAAACTTTAAGGTGGCCATTTTGGATTTTCAGTCTTAAAATCTTCACTTTCAAGACTTGTCTACAGGTTTCCAGCCAAACCATTTGATGGATTCATTTGGAATTTACAGGGATGTTTCTACGTATCAAAGTTAACAACTGATTAGTTTTTGGGCATTCTGGGTTAATTTTAGGTGGACATTTTGGATTTTTCGTCCTAAAATCTTCACTTTCAAGACTTGTCTACAGGTTTCCAGCCAAACCATTTGATGGATTCATCTGAAATTTTCAGGGATGTTTCTACGTATCAAAGTTAAGAACTGATTAGTTTTTGGGCATTCTGGGTAAATTTTAAGGTGGCCATTTTGGATTTTCCGTCCTAAATTCTTCACTGTCACACTGCTGTGTTTTAGGTATGATATTGTTCATGTCTGTGCCT